AGCCGCTATCTCCTCTGGTAGCTGGGCGTACGCCTGGTCAGCGGTGCCTGTCATCATCCGCGCCATCGCGGTCTTGCAGTCGCCGCTCGTCACTTCGCCCGGGTACTCTCCTCGCTCACGCCTAGCCTCCACGGCTGCGACCAGATACCCCATCGCGACCTGGTATCTGCCAACGCTGTGGCCGCTCAGCTTGCGCACTTCACCGGCAAAGCGTGCAGGCCAATCGCGCGGAGCGACCAAATTGCCTTCACCGTTGCGAGGCGCAATCCACGCAGGCAAGATCTCGCCGTCATCACCCAACTCCCAATGCTTGCGAATGGCCTCGAGGCACTGCTGCGCCTTTTTGTAACCGCCAGAAGCCTCAGCGCCGGAGCCTTGTTGACGCCCACCAAAGGTGGCTTCGATGCGGTATGTCGGGCCCTCGACAAGGTGGTGGTAGTCGAAGCAGACCTTCTCATCGCGCTCAGGATGCCAGATGATGATGTCTTGAGTGGGTTCAAGAACCCCGGAAAAGGTGGCGCGGAGCGCGTTGTAGGTCTCATCGCCCTCTTTCAGGCTGGAGGAGACTTGTCCCCAGTAGACGTCGTCGCCAAAGCGCATCATGATGAACTTTGTGCGCTCGGCGGGGGTGTTGTATGTGTATTGCATTGCGATGGTTGTTGTGTTGATGTGTGGGAAGTGTGTTGTAGTAGGTAAGTGGTGAGATGATGATGTATAGGGATTGGAGAGAGGAAGTTGAAGGCAGCAAAAGGTAGCTTTTATATCTCAGTACGAAGCGCAGAAATCCAAAACAGGCCTTCACCGCGGATAATTCCTCAGTCACTGTCACTTTGCGTAGCACGCGTTCTCAAACGCGTCTTCACCTTCACTTCCACTGCTCCGCAGCCACCACGCCCGTGGGCAAAAAGAAACTGTGCACTCCCTACATTAAAGACTGTTACAAGCTGAGTTCGAACAAACGGCAAAAATATAACAATACTTCGGAGGGATGTTATGGCTTGTTTCAAGACGTAAAGACGCTTATCACTCCACTCGAACCTGCAGGTCTTTGCTATATGAGAATTAGCTGAGTTAATTACAATACATAGAGCAGTCAAAATGAGTTCTATACAGATTTGAATTCGCGCTGTTGTGTTGTGGTGGAGCGCGTGGTGAGAGCAAACGCGCAAACGCTCGTTGCCATGGCACTGCGGTGAGAGCGCGCGCACACTATCAGACTGCAACAACACCATATCGCTTGTAACTAGTTGAGGGATACAAACTCGCCGTTTTATACAATCTACGCGACCAAAACCATGCCTGGAGGTATCCGACGTTTTCTCTAGTGTTACACTCACTTCACGGAACATCACGTATACAACTGCCTGATACATGGAGCGCAGCGTACAGACCACAAGTTTCTCCGTAGTCAGCAAGCTGGGAGATGAATTACAGCTTGAAGACTACAAGTCATGTTGTATTAGGCACTTGACGAGATGAGATGTCGAATTCATACGTGCGTTAATTTACCTTTTTCCATCTTTGGATCCTACGGCTCAACAACACTGCTTGTAAACAACAGATCTCTTCATGCGCGGCACTTTGGTGAGATATGAGATTGTATTTATACATATGTTCATCGACCCTTCTCCACCTTATGCTTCTTCGGCCCAACAAAATTACACAGTGCACCGCCATTCACGGCAATGACCTTCCATCCCGCCGGGACGACACCAAACTCCTCACTCTCTTCCTCCGTCGCACTCAATTTCCAGATCTTTCCTGTCTGCCTATCGAACCATTCCCTCCCTTCTGGAGTTTGTACCAACTCACCAAGCACGAACTTGGTTACAGCTTGAATATCTTTGGGATTGACCGAATCGGGGAGTTTTTGGATGTCCACGTCGAACTTGCGTTTGCCATCGATTTGGACAACACATTTGCGCGTTGTGGTGAGGAGCGGTATGATGGCGAGATCTGCGGTTGGAAAGCCTGTTGCGAAGACTGTTGAGACGCCGCTGTCATTCGTCTGAGTCGCAGTGCATGTGTTCAGTTGATGCCAGGCTTCCTCAGCGACACCAGGAGCAATTGGGGCGAGCATGCGAACGAGGTGGGCCATGGAGTACCATTTGAGAATTGGTGTGATGGGAGACGCATGCGGCGTGTCCCAGATAGTGTTTGTCAGTGTCATTAGATCGCTGACGATGGTGTTGAGAGAATATGTCTGCGAGTACGATTCTGTGACGCTGGCGATGGTTTCCTGTGTCTTGATCCAAAGCTGAGCTTCATCTGGTTTGAGGGTGGACACCAAGGTTTCGCGTGTGGCGTTCTTAGATTCGCCGCTTGTCGAAGCATCTTGTAGGATACTGAGGAGTTTACTGTCAACCTGTGTGGGTGTAATGAACGTCTCTATCACATCATCCGGTATCCATGGTGCGGTTGACAGCTTGACGACTCGATGTAACCATCGTTGTACGCCAGTGATCTTTTTCTCATCCCACTCAAGCACATCACTGACAGGTGCTTGGAACAGCATATGCGCGCGCGTGGCGTCTGCGCCATACTTGGCAATCGTGGCACCTGGATCCACACCATTGTACTTGCTCTTCGACATCTTCTCGAAGCTGACGTTCGGAGTAACTCCACTGGCCTTGATCATGGGCTTGGAGGGATTGGTCAAGTCGACTTCATCGGGGCGCAGGAAACGACCATTTTTGGGGTCTGTAAATGTCTCTCCGTGCACCATACCTTGCGTGATGAGACGCGTGAAAGGCTCACCATTCGTTAGATAACCCTTTGGCCATGTTGGAGTGGTTGCCAGAAACTTGGAGATGAAGCGCGCGTATAAAAGATGAAGAATCGCGTGTTCTACGCCGCCGACATAGAGGTCCACTGGCATGCCAGTATTGGTTTTTGTCGGGTCGACCAAGGCGTGCTCGTTCTTCGGATCTAGGAACCTGAAGAAGTACCACGACGAGTCCATGAAGGTATCCATAGTATCAGTCTCGCGCTCAGCAGCCGAGCCGCACTTCGGACAAGAAATCTTCTTCCAGTTCTCATCTTCTGCTAACAGGTTACCTTTGCGGCCCTCGAAGAGGCTGTCGGGCAGGTTCGGTAGCTCGACCGGAAGGTCTTCCTCAGGCACAGGAACAGCACCACAAGATTTGCAGTGGATGATTGGAATAGGTGCACCCCAATAGCGCTGCCGACTTATCAGCCAATCACGGAGTCGCCAGTTTGCTTTCTTTTCAGCCGGCTTTCCAGTATCGAGAATCGCTTGTACAACCGCATTCGCGGCTTGCTTTGAGGTCATGCCCCCGAAACGATCTATGTCTGCAGCAACGAAGCCTTTTTCAGTCATAGGTACGTCGTCACCACTGCGCGGTACAAGCGGCAAAGGTAGTGAGCCCTTCTTGGCAGATACGACGACTCTGACTGGCTCATCACCGACGTTCTTTCGCCAGAACGCGTGGTCTCGAGTGTCGTGACCTGGTACACCCATTACAGCGCCAGAGCCATAGTCGTCCAAAACGTATGGAGCCACGTATATAGGTACAGAGGGTCCTGTGGAGCCTTGTATGTGGGCGAGGGGATTGCGCGCTACAATCTTCCGCAGCTTGAAACCCTCCTTGGCGTCTGGGGGGAGCTCTGCTGCTCGCTCCATGAAGGCGCGGAGCTCTGCATCCTCGATGGCTAACTGCTGAACGATTGGGTGACGCAAAGAAAGAGCGATATACTGTACTCCAAAAAGCGTGTCAGCTCTGGTAGTAAAGACATCGACGGGCTCAAAGCGCATTTCACTATCGGTCGAGACGATATCGAACCAAAGTTGCGCGCCTTCAGACTTGCCAATCCAGTTCCTCTGCATGGCAAGAACCTTCTCAGGCCACCTGCCGTCTCGTGCAAGAGCGTCCAGATCCTTTAGCAAGGGTTCCTGGAACTCCTTGATCTTTAGAAACCATTGCTTCAGCATCACCTTCTCGACCTTTGCACCGGAGCGCCAGGAGCAGCCATTGGCATCTACTTGTTCGTTTGCGAGGACGGTTTTATCGACGGGATCGTAGTTCACGAGAGATTTGGCTTGGTAGGCTAGGCCGCGCTCATGGAGCATGAGGAAGATGCGCTGGGTGTGTTTGTAGAAATGGGGATCGCACGTTCGTATTTCCTACATACAGAGATCAGCCCATGCTTGAACATATTGAGCGTTTTCCATACAGCGTCCCAGTCCCAGCGTCCACCCATTTCCTTCATCTGACTCTTCATAGTCTCGATATTTTGTAGCGTCCACTTCTCCGGGTGTACCCCTCGCTCGATGGCCGCGTTCTCAGCCGGTAGACCAAACGCATCCCAGCCTATGGGGTGTAGGACCTTGTAGCCCTGCATGTGCTTGTATCTGGAGAGAACATCGGATATCGTGTATACCCGCAGGTGGCCTAGATGGAGGGTGCCCGAGGGGTATGGGAACATGGGCAGCACATATGCGTCTCCCCTATCGGACTTCCGTAGGTCGTGCCATTGGGCAGATAGCTGGTCCCAATGGGGTTGCCATTTCGCAGTGAGCGATTCGACCTTGATTCCCTCAGCTCTTGACTTTCTCTCCAGCGTACTCGCCCATCGTAGGGCTATGCGCGGTCGGGAGACTGGGAGGCGTGGAGGGCGACGCCAGCCTACGGACTGCAGACTGAGACGACGCATCACCTGGGCGTATGCGCATGGCGTGGACGTGTCGTATTCATGGTCTGGAGGATGCGCGGATCTACGCCAAGCATCCAGTCCTGAACGACTCCCACATTTTTTGGATGCAGCTCTAGCGCTCGAACGGGAGCTAGTCCCATGACGGCATAGGAGCCCGTCGGTTTCAACAGCGCATGCAAGCTGCACCACTCATACACGGCAGCGGTGAATGCTTGAAAGGGGTGCTGGATACTGCCCCTACACTCTGCCTCGCCCTTCATATCATAATTACCGTCCATGGCTAGCAGATAGGGTTGCGCGCATCTCTCCCACATTCCCTCCGCACCATGGCCGCCGGTCGCTACTCCAACCTCCCACCGCCGACTCGCGATTCCCTCGAACTCGCCTCGCTGGCCTCCTCGTCGCACCCTTCACGGCGGACTTCCGAAGAGTCTTCGGCCTCAGGCGCGCCTTCCTCGCGTAGACTGTCGTTCGATGATGAAGACCCTCTGTCGGAACTGAATCCGGCTGGTCACGATCCGAACAGACCACGGCACAATCGCTCCTACAGCGTGTCCTCCGCCTTCGATTTCGCGCCGAACTTGTTCCCTCTCTCTAGTACCGCGCAGGGTTATACAGCACTGGGCGCGCCCTCCAATCCAGCATTAGACCCGTCGAATGCGCTTAACGGCGGCTCATTGGAGAAGAACAAGAGCCTTACATACCTCAATGGGCTGTCATTGGTAGTTGGGCTTATAATAGGAAGTGGCATCTTCTCTTCACCATCTCAAGTCAACAAGAATGCTGGGTCGCCAGGCGCGTCTCTCATAGTCTGGATCGTCGCTGGAATACTGGCATGGACGGGTGCCGCGAGTTACGCCGAGCTCGGAGGCGCCATACCACTCAATGGCGGTGCCCAAGTCTATCTGTCTAAGATATTCGGAGAGTGGGCGGGATTCCTGTTCACATGGTGCGCAGTCGTGGTGCTGAAACCGGGCTCGGCAGCCATTATTGCCATAATTTTTGGAGAATACCTGGTGCGCGCTGTTATTGGCGCCGAAGCTGTGGATGCAAGCACATGGTTGAACAAGGGCGTGGCTTTGGTGGGACTTGTGGCTGTCACGCTACTCAACTGTGTGTCCACAAAGCTCGGCACAAGGAGTGCCGACGTCTTCATGTTCCTGAAGTTCTTTGCACTTACAGGAGTCACAGTCATCGGTATCGTAGTTGCGGTGACCGGGCTTTCGTACAAGGGCGACGCGAATGAGGACTGGAAGAATCGCGGCTGGTTCGATGACACGAGCGAGAACGTTAGCAACTGGGCAGTGGCACTCTACGCCGGGCTCTGGGCCTTCGACGGTTGGGACAATGTACGTCAAGCGATTTGAAACCCTGCCCACTCCTACTAACGACACCAGGTAAACTACGTCACCGCCGAGTTCAAGAACCCGACCCGCGACCTTCCCCGCGTCATCCACACTTCGCTCCCGCTCGTCATACTGTGCTACATCTTAGCCAACATATCCTACTTCCTCGTCCTCCCGACCTCAGTCATCGAATCGTCCAACACCGTCGCCGTAGCCTTCGGTTCGCAGGTCTTCGGTCCAGTCGGCTCGCTCATACTCGCGCTATTCGTCTCGGGGTCATGTTTCGGCGCACTCAACGCGACGACCTTCACATCCGGCCGCCTAGTGTACGCCGCCGGTAAAGAGGGCTATCTCCCCGCCCTATTCGGAAATATCGGTTTAGGAAAGAACCACAGAGCAATCCGCTTGCACAGCATGAACGCAACGCAAGGGAAGAGCAAGATACCAAAGAAGCTAGTAGCCTGGTTCGCGGATGCTGACGCAGGCTTCTTCTTCACGCCCATATCCGCCATGATGCTCAACGCGCTCCTCACAGCCATTTACATCGTCGTCGGCTCCTTCGACACTCTCGTCACCTTCTACGGCGTAGCAGGATACGCCTTCTATTTCCAAACCGTACTCGGCCTCATCATCCTACGCGTCCGCGAACCCGATCTAGAACGGCCATACAAGACATGGATAACCACACCCATCATCTTCTGCTGCGTCAGTCTCTTCTTGCTGAGCAGAGCCGTATTCGCAGAGCCATTACAGACTTTACTCGTTGTAGCCTTCATGGTAGTAGGCCTAGTGATTTGGTTCGCGTGGGTGGGGAGACGAAGAGGGAAAGAGCAGAACAAGTTCCGTATGCCGGAAGAAGGCAACGAGAAGGTTGGCTGGAAGTTCTGGCAACGCTGGAGGCGATGAAAGAGAGAACTACCGCAATTTTGTTGTATACTAAGCGTCATGGTTGTATAAGATTACGTAGAAATGAAGAAATGATATCAACGTGTACGTATTCTGTTCCGTAGCCGTCATCATCTGCGTCTTACTTTGCTCAGGCCTTCAGATATCTCGTTACGAGGTACGATGTGATGTCGGCTTCGACTGGCCCGGTCCATAATAGCAGACTGGCAAGTCAAGACCCTAGCATCGTTCGTCTCAAGTCTGGTATTCCAAATCACATCCTGGTCCGCTCGAGGCCAGCTAAGCCGGAACCCGGGTGGAAACTTCAAGTGTAGATCTCTCGTTTTCCATCCGCCTCCTGTTTCGAGCGGAACGCATGATGGTGTGATGGGCACGTGGTCGGAAAGAGTGGCCGTGAACAGGTTACCCCAGAGATACTTACCGTAGACTCACGAAGATATCGGCGGGATATATCGGACGTATCAATTACGTGACAAGTCGGGGACGACAACTCAGGTGAAAGTGAATTCCGCAACGGAGCAGAAATTATCATAGTGTATGATAGCAAGGCAATATGGAGAAGGTTTTTATTTGTTTATATTTCTGCTCCTTTCAATCTGATCAAAGAGACTAACAGAGAATCGGGCTATACTACTCAAAGGCTCAACACCTTCTATCTCCTCGGGTTATTAACAAGAGCTCATGGAAGAGGCAATGGGGGTGCTAAGCGAGACGTGAAGAAAGATAACAGTGGGAAGACAAGAGGGGGGAAGAGAGACGAAGAGGAAGAGGAAGAGATGGAAAAGGTGATGGTGTGGGGTATAAAGAGCGGACGTGCCGTGCTCATTTCCGTAGCAGGGTGCGCAGCACCGGTGGTTCGTGAATGAATGTTCGTATCGTAAGCGACGTGACGGATGCAAGGTCGAGAGTCAAGACCTTGCCTGACCTGACCGAAAAGGGTCTGAAGTTCCCATGAACCTTCATGCGACAAAGGGCAAGCTGGGGTTGGGGCTAGAACCCTGACCAATGTGCCGAGACGCTGTGTCGCAGGAGGTGTTGTGCAAAACATGAAACCGAAACCGTAACGCCTGTGTGGGTATGTTGCCCAGACGCGAACCACCCAGAGTCGCGAGAGCAAAGGAAACAAGAAATTTAGAAACTCGCGTCTTCCCAGTTAATCGTACAGGCGGCTCGTTGCCGATTCCGGTCTAGCAGTAAGAAAGGAAATAGGGTTGGGAAAGGTACCCTCGCGCGTTTCGTGTAGCCTCAGGCTCCGCTTAGATCCAGCCGTTGCGTGGCGTCCGTTGCATCGTGCCCGCGCCAAGTGGAATACGGGCTGTAGGTGACGGAGCGGCATGGCCACTGTTCGTTCGCGTGAGGTTGTTGACTGACGCAGGTGTGCCTGGCTGCGATGATGTTGTAGGTGAACCAACTGCTGTAACGGGTGTCACAGGGTTCATGCGCAGTCCGCTGATGCAGGCAGGTTCGGGGACAGCAGGCTTTGCCGGGGTAGCAGAGGGTTGAGGGGAGGCTGGTGACTTCGGTGGTGGGGAGGGTAGCACCTTCTCGCGTTGGGCCTGGAGGTGAGCGCTGGATTGACCTGCCGGTGTGATGGGGAAAGGTGGAGTCCGCGCTGGGCTGTTCGCTCTGGGTCGTGCTGGCGACTCACCACGCGGGGGAGGAGGGGAGAATACGCTGGAGCTAAGCATCTCCTGCGATGGCGATGTGCTGGTCGTAGAAGGCTTCTGGATCGGAAGAGCCAACGAAGCTTCACTGCTGTCGGTAGCACCTCGCTTCAACGGAGGGGTCTCTCGTTCAACCCGTGTGCACTTGGCTGCTGCAAGCGTGGCAGGCGCAACTGAGAAGCGGAGACCAATTTGGACGGTTGCACTGCTATCGGTACTTTGCATGCGTTGGTGTCGTTCTGCAAATGGTAGTTTGGGCTTGCTCAGAAAATCCCAAGCGTCGCCGACATTCGTGACCGAGCCGCGTCGAGTAAATCGTCGCAGGGCAAGCTTGGAAATAGAGGAACCGTCTGAGGTAGATTTTGGATCGTAAACAGTTGGTGGAAGACGAGGTACCTCCTCAGCGCGTGTGGGAAACAAGGAATAGCTTTGGCTTTGCTTGCGCTCGTGTATCGTAGTTTCGTTGTCGAGAGCAGGTGGAAGAGGCCACTTTGTGGGATCGATAGGGCTTCCAGGTTTGGTCGATGCCGGTGTCAAAGCCCGCTCTGGTCGTTCAAAGTACTGAGGATCAAAGTCACCACGGTTCTTTTCTGGCCCGACATCGATCAGACCCTGTTGACTGTGTAAACGTTGAGTTGTCTGCAATGCCATCGGGCCACTGATCTGCATCTCCAGATCGCTAGGGCCGAAGAAACGGATCTTTGGTCGTTGTTGTTTCGCGGGCGCCTTTAGTTCTTCGATGGGACGAATGACCATTCGTGTCGCGTTCGTACGGAGGAAGAGGTGGAAGAACGTGATGACCATTCCTGACGAGAACAGTGAGATTTCAGCGACTCGAGAAGCGGCTAGTGCTTCCATGAATTCTCGGCGAAGGGACTGTACTTCCACAGGGATGACGAGAGTCTATGATTGTTAGCTAGAAAGGCTAGAAAGGTAGTGTAGATACTCACATAGATTAGTGCGGTAACGATCAAGAAGTAAGTCATACGTGAAGCTGAGATTCGCTCATTATGGTCCAGGTCCGGCGTTCTCATCAGCTGAATACTGATCATAGCGGCTACCATGAGCAGCAGAAAAACAAGAATTGAAAGGAAGATCAGCATCAGAAGATCGTACCGCATGGGGAACCAGATAAGCCCGCCAAAGCAAGTGTTCGGAGACGGCCAGGCAACAGTTGGCATCCAGGAGAGAAGAAGCATGAACGATACAACGGCGATACAGATTATCGTGTTCCACTTGCCGCGTGGGGCGAATCGGTCTTGTTTGTAGGCTCTGACTGCTACCTCGATACCGAAGACCAAGGTAATGAATCCGATCAGAAAGATAGCTGCTGCTTGTCAGTTTCATTGTTCGCAAATGTGATGTATGCGGAGCGTACCAGGAAATGTGACCATCGCTAGTCCGCGGCAACTTCTAGAGAACACGCTATGAAGTGTAGTGCCCTGCACTGATACGAAGATAATTTGTTGTAGAACGGCACCGCAGGCCAACGCAAGGGGAAAGGTTTCGGCAGGGTGGACATTGTGAAGAGCATTGAATCTCCTAGTTCTCGTTAGCAATATCGCAAACTCGGATCATGCTATACTGACTTCTTTCTTGGGAGAACCTGAAGAGCTGCAGCTCGTCGCGCATCCGACACGATCCGATGAACCGTCAATAAGGTCAAGGCAAGGCTGAAAGCTCCAAGGGTAAGATGTGTCGTCCGAAGCGTTTGTACCTGTTGAAGCTGTAGACTCGCGATGAGAGTCCTCGTCGTGTTTGATTGCGTCCAGGGAACTTGGCGAACAGCTGACGTGTTGAGAGTTAAGTTGAAGTGCGATCGGACCTCGAGCTGAGGGAAATGGTCGGCCCATGATTCCATCTCGCCGGCTCTAGTTACAACGGGTGTAGAAGGAATAGAATTGTCTCGCTGGTAACCAGCAGCGGCTGAAGAAAGGAAAACGACTAGGTATTCATGGAGACCGTGTGACTGACGTCGTAAACGAAAGAGTAACCAGCTCAGCGTCAAAGAAGGAAATGGCTAAGCCTGCCAGCAGAGCAACGAAAGAAGGGGAAAGAGCGTGAGCATTAGACGTAAGAGACAAGAGACGGGTATGAGACTCCAAACGGTATATGACAAAACCACTGGGCGGTAGCTGCTGCGCACGGTTTCGGAACAGCGGTCCTCAGGCGTCTATCCGGTCATTGGCTGAATAGACCCGCATTAGCAAAGATCCAGCCAGTTCATATTACAGGTCGCATCTTCCCGCAATGGGTGGGAGTGGGTTTCAACCTCATGCGAGCCACCCGCATTCTGCCAGGTAGCCCGGCCAGCGGAAGCAGCGAAACCCGCGTAGGCACCGTTGCGCCGAACAGCAGCCACCTGCCTTGGAAAGCCTCTTGTCGCTCTCGTAGCTGCTGTCATATAGACCGGGTTGGACAGGTTCAGCACGACGTCATTGCTTGACGTTGCCGTAGCGGCCGTCTCCACATGGTCCGCCGGTGAACGTGCCTTCGTTCTCAAGACCGCAGACCCATTTTCGTCAAGTCGTTCGGCCTGCTGAAGCGCGCAATCTCATCTGACGCTGAGCACTATACTTGGGTTCCTGGATAGCTATTTCCAGCGCGGAAGCGCTGATGTAGACAGTGGCGCATCGTCGGTGGTGGTGAGGTGGATGTGGTCGGACTAGAGTTCTGATGCTTGCTGGGTTTAGACTGTGCCGCAGATCCTCGCTTCGACCCTGTCCGAGACACAGCGAACTCCAGAACCCCTGCCGGGTCAACGTTCGCCGGGGAAGCCTCGCAAACCCACGACACGTCCGTAGCAAAGATGGTTAGCTGGAAGGTATAAGCAATATATTATAGAAAACGGAGGGGGATGTGTAAAGCCACGAGGCATTGCTGCATTGGGCCTAGTGCGCAGGTCGGTCTGGTTTACGCACGCGACGTATAGGAACGGTTCGCGGGCGTGAGATTGAAGGATGCAAGACCCATCAGCATGCAAGACGGAAGGAACCGATTGAGAAGCCCAGATGGAAGATCGTGTGTTATCGCAGCCCAGCGCACCTGGGCCTCCACAGAACTGACTTTCAAACCACTGGTACCGCCGAGTGGTAGAGGGTTGTGCTGCAGAAAAGCAACATACTCGAGACGTAAGTCCAGCACCGAGAGCGCGACACCACACGGTGATCAGTATTCACATCATCACACTCCCTGGTAGCCGCCGGCAGGTCTAATCAAGGCGCCTACGCAGCGGGACAGTCACGTCTACACCCAAGCACTTCAGACGTCTCGTCACAACCGCCGTGGTCTGAAGTTTGACCTGGCAAGCCACCAAGACCAAGATAGATCAGAGAG